CCGGATAGCTGGATTGACAGGCAGACGCACTAACCACTTGGCCATTCCGCACTTCATGCTTTTTAACAATTGCTGAGAAATTGCTGCTAGATGTTTTTCTAGCGAATTTGCTACTTTGGCTCTTCCAGAAAAACTCTGCTGGCGAGCCATTCCCAAAAAATCACTGCTAGTTGCCTTTTCCTAAATAATCCCTGCTAGCCTCCTCCTCCTAAAGAATCTTTGCTAGCCTGCCTTCCCAAAGAATCGTTGTTAGCCTATTGTCATCATCCCTTTAAAACCAGTGTACCTCGCGTACCAAGGGATTCGTGTCGGTCACTCACTTCCTGTTGATTCTCTCTCTCTCTCTCTCTCTCTCTCTCTCTCACTCTCTCTCTCTGATTGGCTACACTCCACTCCTCTAAACACAACAACGTATCCCCCATCCCCTCTAATATTTGTCCCCATCCCCTCAAGTGAGGCTATCATTCCCCTCTCAAAGGGATACGGTATCCCTTCCAAAGATCTTGTCGGGACCCGGCTATGTCAAATCTCCTGCAAAATCCTTTTCTCCTTATGTCGGGCCACTTGACAGTTCGCTCCCGACGATCACTTTGAGTATCCGCTCGCGGCTTTGAGAGGAGCCTTCAGCTATTTGGGGGTACGGTAGCCGGGGGGCGGCTTATAGTGGATGAGAAGGACCAATCACCTCAAAAATATCTAAAAAACGAAGATATCTTACGGTAGGCTGGGAATCCAGTAGTTAAAAGGGCCCGGAAACTCTGGAAAATTCCCAAAAAATTGGGATAAATTACTGAGCTCGGAAGAAGGTATTTCTAGGGATTTTGAGATGCAAGAATATGAAGGATTGCGAGCGTTTAAAAGGACTAAAAAGTCTGCAAAATTCTAAAAAATCAGAACAACTTACTGCACTCACTTACTTATTTATGTCAATTGTTGCAGACCTGAACGAGACGAAGAAGTGCCGCGCTCGCTTCGGACTGACGAACCAATCCCAATGGTGTGCGTTCTGCAAGCGGAAGAAGAAGTGCCAGTACGCGGGCGGTGTCGGCGAAGAGATGACGTACGTTTTATGCAAATTTTTAAATTTTTAAGCATCTTTTCGAATTTGCGTCCTTGGTCTAGTGGTTAGTGAAGTTGCCTGTCAATCTGAGGGCCAGGGTTCGATCCTCGGCCGCGATAAACTTTTTGCTTTTTGGCCCAGCCGTTAGATTTTGAGAGTTTTAAAGGGAGAATGCCTCAAAATTCTTTGAAAGCCTCGAAATAAACTTAATTTCAGCTCCCGTTCCTCCTCCTCGACGGAGCCATCCCTTCACGGTGATGATGGTCATCATCTGATGGCCAGCGAGGATGATGATGAGATGAAGCCCCCATTCCTCTCTACCCACCCAGGGGCTATGCAAATGCCCGGTGTCCCTCCGATGTCGGATGACAGTGATAATGATGAGGTGCGTTCTTTACGTTTTTTACGTTTATCTTACGGTAGCTAATCGATTACGGTACTTTATCCAGTTTATGGCATTTTAAAGGGACTTGTAAATCCATAACCGGCCGAAAAATAAAAGAATTTTAGAAGCCCTATAATTGGCTAAAAAATTTTCCAAATTTCTAGAATAGAGAAAAATCGAAAAATAAAAATTTGCCGAATTTCCAGTACATTTTTGCCTTCAACGGTCCTTTAAAATGCATTTTATAGCGGATTATGGTAGATTCTTACCTGTGAAAGGCGGTAATTTTTCTAAATATCGAAAAACAGCTCGCGAATTTATGGAATTTTTTGTGGATTTATGCCTTCAACGGTCCTTTAAAAACTTTTTTAGGTGATTTCTGGTGGCTTTTTGCCTTTTCAGTCGCTTTACGAAAGTTTGCAACTTTTCAAACATTTTTAAAATATTTAAAACACGAAAATTGTTATGGAGTTTTGCCTGGAACGACCCTTTAAAACCAATTGCTTTGCAGCTGGACGAGGACATGGAGGACGATGACCCGACGCTCACCTCCACCCTTCTCGAGGGGGTCAACACCGACATGTTGAGGCCATAGACACCCACGAGGCCACGCCCCCTTTTTCAAGGGCCACTGAAGGGACAGGGTACCGTACCCCCAAACTACCGTATCTCACGCGATATTTGAATATTTCGACCGCAAATCCCAGCTCAATTTTGGCGAATTTTCTTTTTTAAAACGAGCTTTTAAAAGCTACCGTAGCCTTATGGATTTCTGCCTTCGACGGCCCTTTAAAATCGTAGTTTTGGCTGTTTTCTATAACGTGCACATTTCCCGGGTACCACATACACACTGCTACACACTAATACTACCGTTCTCTCCCCCCGGAGCCGCCTGTACGCAACGCGCCACGCAACGCGACCCCACCCAGCTTTCGTTGCATTTACTCATTTGATGATTTGTGTAAATTATTGCTTATTTTGTGAGGTTTAAGGGATTGGCCAAACTTTAAAATTTATGATTTAAAAAAGCTGTTTTCTAATTTTTTTGTAGCCTGTGGTTTTTGGATTCAACTGGACTGCAAGCTACAAACTACAAATTTTCCATCGCTGGGTTTTTTAGACTGCAATTTATATGGTTTATTTAAAGCTATGGACTACAAAAACTAGCAGCGTCAATCGGTGTGGTTTGTAGCTTGCAGTCGGCTAAACTACAGGCTGCAAACTAGAGATTTCTGGATTTTGTGGTCTGTAGTTTCAAAGCTCCATTAAAAGCGATAAGCTGCAAAAACTGGCAGCACAATTTTATAAAGTTTGTAGCCTATCGATTCGGCTAGACTACAGGCTGCAACCTACAAGTTTTTAAAGCTCTGAACTACAAAAAACTAGCTGGTATTCTTTTTGTAGCTTGTAGTTTTTAAATTTAAGCTAATTTGGCCAATCCTTTGCCTCCCATTTTTCTGCTATTTATTAAATTCCGCTGCCCTCCTCCCTCCAAGTGCCAATTTGTCTATTAGTGCTTTATAAACGGCCGAGATTGCCTTTTCTCTCGTTTTCTCTGCGTCTCTCTCGCCCTCTCGCTCCCTCTCCTTAATGCTCCAATTGACGTATCGTTTGAATTAGGATTTTTCGACCCACTTTCACAGAGAAATGCTGGTACAGTGCCTCTCCCCTCTCGCTATATTTGGGTTACGGTAGCTGGGGCACCAGATACCGTACCCCAGCCCAGCGTTTATTCTTCAAAAATCGCCTTTTTGTGATGATCGCCTTTTTCTGTTTTTTTTATGTGTTTTTTTTTTGGTTCTGTGTGTACATATAGCCGTGCGCAAAATATCCGATTATAAACATCATCGAAATATTGGAGGAATTTGCATAACACAAAATGCACATAGAATGATTATTTTTACGTTGTCGAAAATTAGAATGTCGAAAATCCTATTATCGACATTTTCTAAAATCAAAAATTTTATATTGATTTTAAGACAAAATTTCAAAAATCATAAATTTTAGTTTTCAAATCTACAAGTTTTTATTAAAATGTACAAAAAAATCGGTTTTTGGACAAAAATTCATTTTTAAGCATTTTAAACTCCTTTTAAATGGTTTTGCGCTCTAAATATAGTTAAAATTACTAAAAATATTGTTAAAATAATTACTAGTAAATTATTAGCTATTTCCTGGGATTTTGAAAAATCGCATGCTAGCAGGCATCCTTTAGGAAACAGCTCTCCAGGGGCAAGCTAGCAGAGGTCATTTGGGAATTTTTCGGTGCTGTATTATGCAATAATTTCCATTTTTAAGCCATTTATTAACCGCAAAAACAAACGTTGAAATGCCACATCAAGAGAGGGATTAACAGAAACGAATTTGTGGAGAGAGTGAGAGAAAGAGTGAGAGAAAGAGAGAGAGAGAGAGAGAGAGAGAGAGAGAGAGACGGAGATAGACTAGCCAAATGACAGCGGGAAAACGGTACCGGTACTGACAGAAAAAGAGAGAGACAGAGACAGCGAGAGTGAAGAGAAACAGGGACAGGATATGCAATTTGAATGACGGTAGCCTCGGGAGGGTTACGGTATTTTCGCGTATTTTACTAAAACCTGACCCATCTACCGTAACCCTTGGGGCTCCGGGGCGCGTTTTGGCAAGATATAATATGGGGGGATGACCGGGGTGGGACCTGAATGGAGTACGGTAGGATACGGGGGAGTACGGTAGAATACAGAAGACGGCTTGGATCAAATAGGCGCCTATCGGGGGGAAAAGCAGGTGGGTTTGAAGGGATTGGGAAGGCAAAATTTGGCTTAGGCCTGGGTTTAGGCTTGGCTTAGGCTTAGCTTAGGCTTAAGAGTCGTTGAAGCTTAGGCTTAGGCGTAGGCTTGGTCTCACCTCTTCTTAATTTGCCTTCCAAGTCCCTTTAAACCCGGAAATTGGTCACAACGATCGGGGCGAAGGCAATAGATTTTGTGGAAAAGTGAAAATCGCTAAACCAGGGCTAGAAAGGACTACGGTAATGACAGACTATGCACAAAAATTAAGATACACAAGTTATAGACATTAATGTGTGGCCGGGAATTGGAGCCGAGCGGTATTTTAAAGGGATCGGGACACATTGGAATGGGGTAGGCTAGCAAAGGTTCTTTGAGGAACCGCCCAATTTGGAACCTTCCATTGATGCGCTTTTGTTCAACTGAGCTGGATTTTAAAGGGACGGTGCCACCAAGGCTTTGGAATTTATTGCGGTTTTTACCTAAAATTCGTTAAATTCGTATCCTCGATTTTCTAGAACTTCCTGTTGAATTACAACGTTGCCTTTAAATTTCCTTTAAAGAAAAAGTTTTTCCTCTCCATTCGCCAAAAAGCAAAAAGTTTGACCCCGGCGGGAATCGAACTCGGGTCGTGTGGGTGGGAGACAACGTCACCAACCACTAGGCCATAGCTAAAGTTTGAAACATCTATTTTTTTTTGTTTTTCTATGGATTTTTCGTTAATTTTCATCTGTGTTAAGAGTTGCTTCCCTGCTGGCACACTCCCTTTAAAAGTTTGAAAAACCCTCAACTACGCCGAATTATGGTGATTAGGTGCCTTCAGCATTTGCGCGTAGCTCTTCTTCTCCGCCGGCTTCTCCCTCCGTCTCCCCGACGCGATGAAGCTGCAAAAACCAAGGTAAAATTAAAATTACTGAAAATATGCAAATTATATTTATGGTAATTAGGGCGGGTGAGTGAGAAGGGCAGAAAAGTCCCGAAAAATTTAAAACAAAAAACCCGTAAATTCAGCCATGAACACCACTAACACTTTTGGGCAGCCACGCATTTTTCGGGGCCCTCGTGGCGAACGGTCTGAAAAAGATGCAAATTTCCTGATTAATCGGGGCAGGCGAGCAGGAATTCTTAGGGAATTCAGAAAATTATTCAGAAGCGCCTGAAGGCAAATAATATGTAAAATAATAATTTGCAAATCTTCTTATTTTTGTACTAAACTAGCAGAAATTATTGGGGAAACATAGAAACCCGGCTTCCCGGTTCCTTTAAAACGCAAAATAAGCAACTTTATTGAATTTTTAGGGGCTAGCTAGCAGAAATCTTTGAGGAAATATAGAAAAAAGAGCTTCCAAACCTCCAAAACATACCAAAAATGGGTAATTTTAAAGGAATTGGAAGTAAAATTCTAAAATTTCTACCAAAAATGCTGATTTTTGCATGTTTTCGAAATTCAGTTTTTCATAGAGTTTCCCCTTCAATGGTCCTTTAAAGAAACCGATTATCTAAGCTCTGCCCCAAAAAGCAAAAAGTTTGACCCCGGCGGGGATTGAACCCGGGCCGTGTGGGTGGGAAACAACACCACTAACCACTACACCACAACACAAATTTCGAAAAGTGTGTTCTGTTGATTCTTAATGAAATTTCGACATTTCTTTTAAATTGAGCTAATGTGAAATGTTATTAATTTACCTGAAGGTGGGCTTGGGCTCGGGTTTCGGCGGTTGGGGTGGGGACTGCTCGACGAGGACGGGGAATGACTGCTCTTCGAATGAGTAGACGGTAGATGGGCATGAGGATGAGGGGCCGGACATGGCCGAGGTGGCCGATTCACTGAAAGAAGAGGGTTGATGCATTAATGGGAGGTGTCTGTTTAAAGATCCCGGGATGGTCTATTAATGACGCCAAAAAAATCCCGACAAACCAAAATCCCGACAGATAAAAATTCCGAGAGCTCAAATAGACGACAGTCAAAATACCGACAGCTAAAATCTCGACAGATCAAAAAACCGGCACAAAAAGACCAGCATCTGGAAGTTCGACAGATCAAAATTCTGACAGACGAAATCCCGACAGACCAAAATACCGACAGCAAAAGACCGGCATCGAAAAGCACGACAGTTAAAATTTCGACAGGCTAAAATCATCGACGGCAAAAACGCCATTGATCAAAATTCCGACAACCAAACTGCCGACAGCCCAAAATCCCGACAATTCTCGACACTAGTTTTAATACCACTTCTTTTTAAACAGCTAATTTGCATGTTAGAATTATGGATTTTGGTCTATCGAGATTTTGGCTGTCGGTATTTCGGCTGTCGATATTCAGGAATTCGGGACTTTTGCCATTGCCCCGTTCTTTCATTGTCACGCTCCCTTTAAAACCCCAATTCGCCCTCGCTTACCTATTAGTGCGTATGCCTCCTGCTCCCTCTCCTCCTCCTCCTCCTGCAGCTGCTGCTCTATTTCTCATGCCTCTCCTCCCTCCTCCGCCAGTTCTTTCTGCAGCCGTGAAGTATGCAAATGAGGTAGTTCCGTTATTGTTGGCTGCTGTATTCGCGTTGCGACGACGATCCTCCCCCCTCCTTCCACTCGCCGTCCGCCAGCCCTCCTCTTCTGAGTGGTGCTCCTGTAAATTTTACATATTTACCCAATTACCAGATTAAAATACAGACTACAAACTACAAACTACAATATCTACAGTAAGTCACGATACAATAATTATTTTCAAGGTTTAGATACGATGTATTGCATTTTAAATTATCAGGCTGGAAATTCTCACAAATTTGCATAAATTTTTTTAATTACATTAAATTCTTAAAAGGATCGTATATATTTTCACAGCACTCCACAGCACACAAGGTATTAATATTATTATTATTACTATTAATTTTTCGGGCATGCAAAGCGCGGGAATTATGCAAATTTTCGGCAGGCTTAACACGCGAATCGTGGCCTTTAAAGGGTCATGGAGTGAATTTAGGTCTTAAAGCCGAATCTAACGAGTTATTGCGGCTTACTGAAAATTTTTTCTTGCGTCCATGTTCCTTTAAAATTATGGCTAGGTGGAATAGCGTAGAAGCTAGCCTTTCCTATCCCTTTAAAAGCCAGATTTCGCGTTTATGATTGCCAAAAACTACAACAGATACACAATATCTCTCTGCGTCTCTCTTTCTCTCTCGCTCGCTCTCTCTGTCTCTTCTATCTCTCTCTCTATCTCTCTCTCTCTCTCTCCCTCTCTCTCTCTCTCTCTCTCTCTCTCTCTCTCTCTTTGTCTCGTTCGCTAGCTCTCTCTCTCTCTCTGCCTCTCTCGTTTGCTCTTTCTCTCGCGCGCGCTCTCTCTCTCTCTTTCTCTTGTTCGCTCGCTCTCTCGCTCTCTCTCTCTCTTTCTCTCGGGCGCTCTCTCTCTCTTTCTCTTGTTCGCTCGCTCTCTCTCTTTGTCTCGTTCGTTAGCGCTCTCTCTCTTTCTCTCCTTTGCTCTCTCTCTCTCGCGCGCTCTCTCTCTTTTTCCCTTGTTCGCTTGCTCTCTCTCTCTCTCTCTCTCTCTTTGTCTCGTTCGTTAGCTCTCTGTCTGCCTCTCCCTTTCTTTCGTTTGCTCTCTTTCTCCCGCTCTCTCTCCCATCTCTCACTCTCCCACGCCACAATATCTACCGCCAAACCTGTATATTCTGGCGTTGCTGTTGTGGTTGTAGTGGTACTGTAGCTACCGTATCCCCCTCCTTCCTTCCACCATCTTCTACCGTATTCGCCATCTTCTTCCCCTTTGGTATAAATGGAGCAGTGACGATGGGAGTAGTGGGTGTGGGCGGGATTACGGTACCCATCACCGCTCCCTTCCCGCTTCCGCCTCCGCTACCCGATACACCAAATGACGGTGGGTGGTGTTGGGTGGAATGGTGATGTTGTTGATGTTGTTGTTGATGTGGCTTCCACGAAAAACTGAACCGCCAGGTGATAATAGCAGGGGTGAAGTTGAATTAAAATTAATCCCGGGGTTTAAATTAAGTAAAAAAAAATTTCTTAAATACTTATAAGTTTATTTTACTTTTATTGCAAATTTTTTAGGTATATTACACCAATTTTTTTCAAAAGTAATGAAATTACTTACTGCGAAAATCAGCTTGTGGCTGTCGGGATTATGGCTGAATTTAAAAACGGTTTTAAAGGAATTTTCGAATTTCTAAAATTAGCATATACTACCCCTAATTGAATATTTCTATTGTCATATTTTTCTAACGTGAAATTTGCACAAATCAGTTTTGTTAGTTCAAAGCAAAATATCCACTTTTTGGATGAAATTCGTGTTTTTCGCAATTTTGTGGAAATTACGCAAATTTTGTGGGGCTAAATTGAGCAGGGAGCAAGAGGCTGGTTAATTTAACTTCCACGCGGTGCTGGGAAGCATTTTATTCGCTTACAATTTTGCTTAAAAATTCGGTATTTTTTGCGAATCTCTCCCTGTCAAATCCGGAAAAGCCGGAAGCGAAAAACCTTACCCATTACTGTTTGAATGCGGGTTTTCTGTAGTAGTCGTTTCCGCTTCGGTGCGATGATCGGTGCGTCGTGGGTTCCGCGACACTCCTCCATCACGATCTCCTCTCCTTCGCTCTGAAAATTTGCATGAATTAAATTTAGCCCAACAGCTGCAAAAATGCACCATATACTAGCTTTTTCCAGATTTTTCAAAATTAAATTGTTTGAAATGTATCTTTGCGTCGGAGAAGATTTGGAGATCTAAAAAATTATGTAATTTGCCCCTACCAAAAGTTTGATAAAACGAGCCGCGTCCACTTCCGCCAGTTCCGCCACGACCACCACTTCGACCGCCACGCCCTGAGCAATTATTTATTTGAAAATTCCGAAATTCCCGAAGGTTCTCTGCTAGACTCCGAATAGAACGAAATCGAATCCCAATTTTCCTGCGATTTCCATTTTTCGGAAATTATTACAATTTTTTTGCGACGAAAACACACCTCTCCTTCCCTCGCCAACACCTCCATTTTCGTAGTAATGATTGTTGGAAGAAGATGAGGCACCGGATGAGGACTAAAAAGCGCTCAAGCTACCGTAATCCTCGAGAGATAGCGTACCGGTCCATTATTTCTGTATTCTCGTGGAGAAGCTGCCGGTTTGGGGCGCCCGCCAGTTCCTCCGCCTCCACCTCGTCCTCCTCCTCGGCTCGTGCTCGCCGATGAGGGGATGAATTCTCTAAAAGCAGGCGAATAGAATCCATAGGTGTCTTTGCTAGCTGCCCTGGAAATCCTGAAGAGTCTCTGCTAGCCTGCCCCAAATTCCAAAAAAGATCTCTGCTAGCCTGCCTTGCGATTCCGTAAGAAGCGCTGCAACCTTGTCCGGCTTTCCAAAGAATTTCTGCTAGATGCCGATGATAATCCCAAAATATCTCTGCTAGCGTGCCACCGATTCCTCAAGGTTCTTTGCTAGCTTGCCCCACCTTTCAAGGAATCTCTGCTAGCTCACAATTCTATTACCAAATAATCTCTGCTAGCCAGTCTCAAGAATACCTAAAGAATCCCGGCTAGCTCTCGCTGTGTTCTCTCGGCCCCCAGATTTCCCCAAGAATTTCTGCTCGCCTGCTTTCCGATTTGAAAAGACGTCTGCGACCTTTTATCCAAATTTCTTAAGGATCTCTGCTAGCTTGCCTGAATCCCGCAAAAATGTCGGCTCGTTTCTTCCATTTTTTCTAGGAATCTCTGCTATCCCTTTACATCCAATTACCATACCTGGACAAAGGTATCGGAGCGGCATTAACTGTAGTTGGTGTGGAGATATAGGCTCCAGACATTGTCGAGGCAATACTATCGACAGATGCTGCCGGGGCGGAACATGTACTCGACGCTCCGTCATTCCCAACGTGGACAAGCGTTTGACCAGGACTGAAAAAAAAGTTAAATTTCAACTTTAGACCAGGTAAGTAAAACGTGTAAGTATGTAAGTATACTTACCGATAAGTAGCCCGCGGCACAAATCCGTACGCGGCCAATACGCTGCCCAAATCGTAGAGGTGAGAGTACTGTGGCGTACTCGGCATTGGAGGCTGCTGTTGGGGAGAAGAACCGGTGGATGGGGCTGAAAGAAAGGCAATTTTAAGGCAATCTAGCAGAGATTTTTGAGGAATAGAGAGAGCAGCGTGGAGAGATCTTTGAGGAATTAAAATGGGGAGGCTAGCAGAGATTCTTTGGGTAAATCTCGAGAAACCGGACGCGCTGGCGAGCCGGCCCTGGGAGTGTGTGGCAAGCCAGCAGAAAATCTTGGGGAATCCGGTCAGCTAGCAGAGATTCTTTGAGAAATGCAATAAGGGCAAGCTGGCAGAGATTCTTTGAGGAATTCAGTAAGGGAAAGCTGATGGCGATTCTTTAGGAATTGAGGGTAGGCTAGCAGAGATTCTTTGAGCTATTCCTGAAGGGCAGGCAAGCAGAGATCCTTTCGGAATTCACTGCTGGCGTTCTTGAGGAGTGCGAGAAGGGCGGCTTGTGGAGGCCCTTCAGGAATTTGAGGGGCAAGCTAGCGGCGACTCCCCAGGAAAACGTACCACTCATGATATCATTGGTGGGCGAAGGAGCAGTCGGGGGAATAGAAGATGCACATCTCTCCTGATGGCCAATATCAGCCGAAGGGGGCCCGCCCGTTTTGATTCGAGCCTAAACACTGGCGTTTTTTCGTGTATTTCGTAGCCCAGCTGCACTATCCTGTTTGAAGGTAAGCTACAACAAATCCACACTCCAAAAACTTACGCAAACCGGTTTTCCGTTGATCGTCACCCCACTATTTTGCAGGTGTAAATAGGCGGTTTGCGTATCCTCTTCACTGTTGTACGTGACGTACCTATCGACGGCCGGATTATTAGAGCGTAATGGAATACACCTACCAACTATTGTTGAGGCCATAACGGAGAGAGACATACGGTGGACCACCGCTCAGCATTTCTTCGACAGTCTGGAAACAATTCGATTCCTCAAGGAGCCCTGCTGTCTTGCTCACTTTTACCCCTTTCTCGTCAAAAATCGCTGCTAGTCTGCCTCAGTTCCTCAAAGAATCTCTGCTAGTACGCTAGCATAAATTTCCCAAACGAAAGCTGCCAGCTGCCCCAACCCTTCCTGTCTCAAACTTCCAACTCACATCAGCCAGATCCTCAGCGACTTCGCGGAGTATAATTGTACATCTACGACTGACCGGCCGTACCCGTTCGCCTTTTGCATCTACTTCGACCATTGTTGATTCTGAAAGAATAGAATATACGAACTGCAGCACACTACAGTAGTCTACATTAGTCATTTTTAGCTTTTAAAGGACCTAAAAAGGCTAGGAATCCATAAAAATAATTTTTGAGCCAATTTGGCGGTCTAATGCTCTAACGAATAGAGCCTTGCTAGTTCCTTTAACACCACCGAACTTTCTCTCTCTCTCTCTCTCTCTCTCGTTCTCTCTCTCTCTCCCCAACCTACCCCTCAAAACAGAAAGTATCGTCGCGTAGTCGGTCGTCAATTGCACGATTTTCCGAAAGCTCGCAATAATAGCGATCGCCACCCACTGATCAGAATCCATCTGGCAGCGCAGATATCTGTCTTGCATCAGGTTTTCCCTAAATTTGAGATATATTTAAGCCGTATCCTCCGATACCTTGAGAAATAATACTCGAGCTGGAATTTGAGCTGCGAGCGTAGATCTGGTGCCTGTGGGACCGGGGATGGGCTGGGAGTATAGGAGAGGGGAGGGGAACACATTAATAGATCCCGACGGCACTCTTGCGTGAACCTGAAAAAGAGACATTTGAATTCAAGAGTGAGAGAGAGACAGAGAGAGACACACAGAGAGAGAGAGAGAGAGAGAGAGAGAGAGAGAGAGAGAGAGCGAGAGCGAGAAAGAGATAGTGCTAGAACAAGAGAATTATAGAGAGAGAGCAAGAGAGACAGATCGAGCGAGAGAGAGATAGAGCGCGAGAGGAAGCGAGAGAGATAAGGGAGAGACCCCGGCGATAGAATCGCCTTGCTGTGCCCCTTAATAGATACTCAAAATGTTAAAATACCGTACCAATAAGGCAACACGGGAGGGGGCGGAGCTTCGGCATTATTCTGCTCAGCCGGTTGCTGCCTCTTCGTCTCCTTATCCCCGATCATTCTCTCCAGCTGGCCACGGTCGATTTGGATTGCCTTAATTAAATGCTATATTTAATTTTATCGCTATTCAACGTTAAAATTAATTATGAATAATTAATACAATAATAAAAATGAAGCTATTTTAAAAAATATATATATTTAGCAATTTGCTATTCGTAGATTATTTTGAAGTTCGATACCCACCTTTTGGACGATATAACAACGGGGCGCGAGCTCGGTGCAAATGTAGAATGAGTCGTTCTCCAGTTCAAACGAGGACATCTGCAAGCTGAGAGCACGGTTTTCTGCTCATTTCCAAGGGGCTCAAATTAGGTTATAGCTTATAAATTTATTTCAGCCATGAAAAAGCTAGCAGCGACTATTTAGGAATTTAGTCGATTAGAAATACCTTGAAAACTAGTTTTCGCGCTTATATACTGTGTTGTGCCATATAAATAAAAACGATCTACAGAATTCAATCGATTACCCTGTTAAAACCCGATTTAAATAAAATTTAGGTAATAAAAAGTAATCGGTTATGCCATTTAAATGACTCTAAAAACTCAGAAGTTATTAAAAAACTTACGGTCAATGCGGGCGGGGCGGGGAGCGCCTCCTCGCCCCAAAGCCAGCTTGAACCCCACCCCAGAGCGATTGATGGAGTCTGAAAATAGAGGAGATAGAGCGAGCGAGCGAGCGAGAGAGAGAGCTAGAGAGAGATAGAGAGAGAGTGAGAGAGAGAGAGAGAGAGAGAGAGAGAGAGACTGTCTCGTTGTCATATACGATCGGAAACTACAGGGTGTCCCATAAAAAAGCACCCCTCCGGCATTTTGCCGTATTACATCCGATCTGTCCCAAATTTGGACCAGAGGTGTATCATACCCTAAATAACCACAATCCTGAGTTATAGCCCGCCAGCGACAGTAATCTTCGAGATACAACAAAAATAAACCTGATTATCCGTTTTTCATATGGTTTTCGTCGGAATCGACCCATCGAATATTAAGTGAAAATGAAGCGGCAAACCTTCTTTACCTTTAGAGGTTTTTTCTGTTTAAAATTAATCAAATAACCGTTGATTTCAACAATTTTTGTAACAGAAAGTCACCCCCGATATTAAGCGAAATTAGGGATTCGCAGCCGGAAGTCGATGCAAATCGATGCAAAGTCCAAAAAGATAGCCGAAAAAACTGTTAAAAACCGCGTAAAAAACAGTAGTTTGGCGATAACTCGAAATCTACTGTAGCGATCGGGCTATAATTCAGGATTGTGGTTATTTAGGGTCTGGTACACCTCCAGTCCAATTTTGAGACTGTTGGGATGTAATACGGCGAAATGCCGGAGGGGTGCTTTTTTTTTTTGGGACACCCTGTATACTAGTGGAACCGAGAATGAATGAGCACACACTTCCTGCTCCTTCTATGTATTCACAAAAAATGGGATGAAAAGGGATAGGGATTTCGATTTTTGGGGTTTAAAGGGCTGGAGAAAGATGGGCCGGCGTCCGTCGGGGTGACGGACCGCCGCGGCGCTACCATCGACGCTTTCCCTCGCGTAAGCGCCCCCAAAAGCCCCTCTCGCGTTTGAAGAAACCAGTTTATTGGCTATAACTTTTTCATTTAGCAATGTTTTCAACTAAAAATTTCCTGAAACCAATGACTTGGTGATACGCATCGATGGTAAAAATTTGAGCTGGATTGGATAGAAGGCGGCCAACTTCTGGGCGATTCGGGGTTTTGGGACACTGTTTTGGCTGAAAAAGAGGCGCATAGACAGCAAAACACCTCTAGAAAGTTGCAAAAGTACGTTGCTATCCTTTAGCAAGGTTTTCTACAACATTTTTTAGCTAGTATCACCATGAAATTGCTTTATTTCTAATGGCAGTTCTTGTACAGGTGGCAATGCGCCCCAGGGTATGTGGGGGCCCTCCGCCGCCCCTCTCCACTCGACTCTCTGGTGTACTGGCTAGCGCATCGGACTGCGGGGCGGACCATCCCTGGTTCGACCCCCGTCCGGTGCGACCCTCTTTTGCTCTTTCATCGATTCCATCTTTCTCCAGCCCTTTAAAGGTACACTAAAATCTCGTTCAAAAAGTACGGTCGTTGTAGGAAATTTGGGCTCTCTGCCGCAGCGGACCCAGCCCCTTCTTATCGCCTCTCCCCTCCCCCCCTTCCCGTCTCTCCCTTGGCCTAGTGGTCCAAGGCGCTGCCCCGAGCTGGCAGTCATGGTTCGGTTTTGCTCCGCGGCGAGCGCCTACCGTAACCCTGTTTGCTATCCTGCGGACGGTTACCGGCCGGTAACCAAACCAACGAGACTTTAGTGTACCTTTAAAGGGAAAAACTGTAGATTCACCTAAGATGACAGAAAACCAGATTTAAATGAGTCGAGAAGTGAAAATTCATAGATAAATTTAGCTAGTGAAAGAGGGCGAGAGAGCGAGCGAAAGCCAGAGAGAGAGAGAGGGAGAGAGAGAGGGAGAGAGAGAGAGGGAGAGAGACCGTTTCAAAGGCACAAACAAGTTAAAATAGTTAGAAAAAGCAGAAGTTTTGGGCGCTGTTCTAACTGAAGTCAAAGATAGAAAATGAGCAAGAGTGTGCTTGCGAGAGAGAGAGAGAGAGAGAGAGTCTTATTCAAAAAAAAGCGCGCAATTTTAAAGTACCTAGAAGTGAAAATCTATATCAAATCATTTTTGGCCGCATGGCCAAATTTTACAATTCTCCAAAACAAAAAACAAATCGATGAAGGAGCAAGAGAATGAGCACGAGAATGCGAAAACGAAGAGAACCCAGAGAGCGAGCTCAAAATATTGTTTTTGGATGCGTGCAAGTGTATATTTTCGTGTTGGGATCCAGGAAGCCGTGAGGGGCAAAGGAAGGGACGGAAGGCCCTTATTTGGGCCACAGAGAGAGACAGCTGGAGGGGAGATGGAGAGAGAAAGAGAGTGACGTCGACTGAAGGGGGAGGAGGAGCCATTCGGAGAAATGCTTCTTCTTTGCCTTGTTTTTGCAGGCCGAAAAAGGAGGAGAAGAAGGGAGGGCGGTCATTATCCGTTCTTCCCAACGGATTGGATTGGATGGAGGGTAGGCTGGCAGAGATTCTTGGGGAATTGGGTAGGGTTAGAGAGAGCAGACTTTTTAAGATGTGCCTTCGCTACCGTATCGCCCGTGTCCAGAAAAACAAGCGGCCTCCTCATTATCCATCGCTCTCTCTCTCTCTCTCTCTCGCTCTCTCTCTCTTTCGCTCTCGCTCTCTCTCTGCCTCGGCGGTGGGTCCCAGCGGGAAATTGGCCAAAAAACGTCAATTAAGGAAGGCAGGGGCAGCAGGGGAATCGACCTGGGTGGTCTTGAGACGAAGAAGGGGATTCCAGGGAAAGGCGAGATTTAGAAAATGGTGATGACGAGGGGATACTGTACCCCCGAGGAGTCTCGCGTAATCTTTGTTTTTTGCATGCGAGTAAAATCGATTTGCTGTCTGGAAGTTTCGAAAATTGCGCAGCTAGCAGAGGTTCCTCAAGGAATTTCAAGGCCAACTAGCAGGGACTATTTGGGAATTTAATATGAATTGGAGAGAGCGAGAGAGAAAGAGAGAGAGAGAGAGCCAGAAAGAGAGTGCTGGGTCCAGAATACACCTATTGACGGCAAAAAGCTGGAATTCTGTGCGAATCCCCCGGAATTCGGCGCACGAAAATGAATCGGGTTGCCAGGGAATGCATCCAAGCACCGAAACGATACGCTTGAAAATTGCGGATTTTTTGTAGGGGAAAGTTTGAGTATTTTGGCGGCGTTGCAAAGATTCTTACGGCAAGGATTACGCGAGAAAACTAATGCGGATTCGCCAGCGCCCGGGAATCGATTACGCGATAAAATCAGAGAGAGCGAGAGGGAGGAAGAGAGAGATAAAAACAAATCAATCCTCGATTTTGAGCGCCACTCTTTAGGGAGCAAGCTTTTATGTTAATGGAAGAGCCAGAGGTATCACTGAGCTATGAAAACTGCCTAAAATCAGGGTCTAAAGCTCTACCCCGTATACGGAGCTTTCGAAAATGGGGGTTTGGGCCATCGGATGGTGTGGTCATTCATTTGCACAGCCATGTCTCTCTCTCTCTCGCCCTCTCCCTCTCACCCTCTCCCCTCTCTCTCTCTCTCTCTCTCTCTCTCTCTCTCGCTCTCTATCGCTCTCTCGCCCTCTTCTCAACGGCTTTCGCCAAATTCGGGGTAGGCGAGATGGAGAAGGATCGATTCCGCCGAATGGAGGAGTGAGCACGAGAAGCGGGGAGGGGAGGGAGAGAAAGAGATGGAGAGGGCTTCTAAAAAAACATCACAACCACCACATAACAATGGTCATTCGGGTGGCATGGCGGGATTTAGAGGGACTTTGAAGGCAAAGTTGAAGGCTCTTGGACATCCAGATAACAGAGATTCCAGATATCGAGAAAACACAGGTATTCTGGAAAGGCAGTCCAGCAGAAATGTCCTGAGAAATTGGAGGGCAACCTAGCAGAGGCTCTTAAATAATTTAAAGGGCAAGCTGGCATAGATTCCGTAGGAATTTAGAGGGCAAGCCAGCCGAGATTCCTTGAGAATTTAGATGGCAAGCTAGCAGAGATCATCGAGGCATCAAGCCCCCCGATTGACCAATCAATCAATTTCCATCCCCTCCCCGGTCAGCGTTATCTTTTTCTGGCCTCTGGGAATTTTTGTGAATGGCCGATCGGGAGGGAATGGGAGGGGAAGGGGAATGTTTTCTAAACAATGCCCCGCGATGAGAGGGCGAGAAATATCAAACCAAAGATCAAATCGGATGCGGAAGTGGAAATTGCACGTTTTTCAGAGTACTGTGATGGATTACGACATGAAACACAGACTAATTGGCCGAATTGACGTGGACAGGTTGGCAGAGATTCCTTAGGAAAGGGCAGGCTAGCAGTTATTTTTGAGGAAAACGCGGACTAGCATGTTAGCAGAGATTCATTAGGAAAGGACAGGCTAGCACTTTTTAGGGAAAAGGAGGCTTGGAGATATTTTTGAGGAAAAGGCGTGGGCAGGCTAGCAGAGGATTTTTGGGAAAGGGCAGACTAGCAGAGGACCTCTAGGAAACGACAAGCTAGCAGAGATTTCTTAGGACAGGGTAGGCTGACAGAGGTTCTTTAGGAAAATCCAAGCCCAGTAAGCATTTAGGAAAAAACAATTGTATAGTAGCTATCCCCGGAATGGGGGCGGTTATTTTGGGGGGCTAGCCTGGGTTTGACTGGAAGAGATGGGGGAGTACGAAGGGATCCTTTTGACGATGAGAAGAGAAAGAAATAGAAGAGAGCGAGAATGAGAGAGGATCCCCTCCAAAAAAGCGGGGCGACTAATTTCGGAAGAAGGGGGTGGATGGCGTGGGAGAAGAGGAGAAGAGGAGGCGGACGGGAGGAGGATGACGTCCCAATTCGCGTTCCGATGCGTGAGCGACTAGCGGTGGAATTCTAAAATTTTTTGGGCCGGCTAGCAGAGATCCTTGAGGAATACTGGCAGGTTAGCTCAGCAAATTTAGGGGTTGGAGCAGACTATCAGAGCGGTTTTCTGGATTTTAAGGCAGGCAGAAATCCTTGAGGAGACCATATCTCGCTCTCCCTCGCTCTCTCTCCCGCTGTCTCTCTCTCTCTCTCTCTCTCTCTCTCTTCCTCTCGACTGTAGGAAATCCGCATTTTCAATCGAACATCAAGTTGATGAGGGCTCAATCCCTTCCTTCCCCTCAAAATCCTTCCATTCAAGCCCGGACAACAACGAAAAGCCGCAAAAAGTTTCGCCCCGAAAGGGAATGAAATAGGGTTCATTCAAAGGGTTAAAATCCGGAGATCATGAATACGAGAGAAGCAAAACATCTCAAATAGTCTCTGCTAGCCTGCCAATCAATTCCGCAAGAATATCTACTTGCATGCCCTTTCCTAAAGAATCTCGCTAGGATGCCCTCAATTTGCTTAAGAATATCTGTGAGCTCGCCTATTTCCAAAAGAAACTCTGCTAGTTCGCCTTCAGATGCTGTTTCCTCAAATAATCTCTGCTAGTCTACCCTCGAATTCCTCAAGAAACTCTGCTCGCTGACCCTAAAAATCGATAGTTCCGAACATCGTAGAAACCGTATGGCGGTTATAAAAGGGATGAAATGGGTATGTGGCCCATATCGATGAAGTGGACAGCAAAAGAGAGAGGTGGGGAGAGGGGACGGAAATTGAAGGGTATTTATAGAAAGAGAGAGAGATAGAGAGAGAGATAGAGAGCGAGAGAGAGAGAGAGAGAAGGCCCAATTCAGCGTGTACCTACTAGCATGATCGATAACACTTCAGATGCCCCAAATTCAACCTTAAAAATAGATCCTACGTGTCACACTCCCTTTAGAAAGTTGAGGCTCCCGCTCTTCAAATTTCCGGGTGTGTGACAGATCGCATAAACGGAGCGCCCCGAGCACAATTCCCCGCCTTGCCCTCGGGGCGCACATAGAGAGACATAAAAAGCGGGTTCAAGGCAGAGAGAGAGAGAGAGAGAGAGAGAGGATGAGAGAGAGAGGATGAGAGAGAGTGAGAAGGAGAGAGAGTGAGACAGCGCCTCCACCCGGCTGCCCGACCTTTGGACGGTAGGCGCGCCGGCGATCAGCTGATTTTGCTTTGCTTCCGCTTTCGGATTAATAGTGGGGATATATCTATATATAGATATATTTTTATATAGTTTTTAGCATTTAAAAATGGGTTGGAGGTTGAAAAATTAATCCCAATTGAGAGTTAGGGCGTTTTTGAAAATAGGCTACAGTTTTGGTGATACGATTTACGCATTAATGAGATGTTATAATCCTCAAGAAAACCGATCTAATTTCTAGCTAAAAACAAGCAACCTAACGATGACCTTTCCGGAGGCTATACTCAAAAGTATCGCCGTTTCCGGCTCAATCTGTCAGATCCTCCAGCTATCCAAATTCTAAAGGCCCTCCCCAGTCCAATTCTTCAAAACCTCTACAGAAATTGGGGGCGAAGGGGCTCGGGCTGAAAATTGACCGTTGGCCGTTCTAATGGGCAGCCGGGTGGAGGAGAAGCCCCCCAAACCTCCCAACCCCCCACGACAAAACGTGGCTCCTCCCGGGGGGAGAGAGGGGCGGAATGAGGAGGGGAGAGAGAGGCCAGAGAGGCGAGAGAGCGGGAGGGGAGGGGAGAGGGCAGACAAGACACGGAGACCCCCCACAGAGACCCCAGCATCCGCTAGCCAGCCTCCCCAAAAAGAATAATTGCATTCTGGGTGTGGAGGGATGGAACGGACATTCCGATATACTACCATTGACACCGAGGGGGAGCGGATGAGATGAGAAAGGAATTGGGGTTAAAGGGATTGACAGGAGAATAGGAGAGGGACAGGGAGAGAGAGAGAGATAAAGAAAGATAACGAGAGAGAGAGAGAGAGAGAGAGAGAGAGAGAGAGAGAGATAGTTAGACAGCGAAAAATCAAGAGAAATCGAATTAAGGTTACAGGGAGCTACCGGGAGCTAGAGAATCAGAGGGAGAGAGAGCGAGAGAGAGCGAGAGAGATATGAAGGGAAAAAATGCATTCCGACAAACAACCCAAAATCTTCGCATTTAAAGAGACTGCGAAGCCAAAATCCGGCCCCTGTTAATCTCACCTAAACGCACTACTGATAGAAAATTGCGGAGCTAATTCTATTCATTTTTAAAGGAATCAGGAAGGCTAAAGTCATTCTAATACGATAATACCCTAATGAATCAGCGAAAACCGCCTTTTGCATTTTTAAAGGGGCCTAGAAGGTCTAAAAGCTCCCCAAAAAGTTTTTTTTGCAAAAATGTGATGTCTGATTCCGCCGAAATCCAACCGGATGCAACCCCAAAAAAATGATAAGCCAAAAGCGTGGCGGGACGGGTCCTTTTAGTGACCCCATCCACATAAGATAAATTGGGGAAAAGACGATAAAGAACGAATCCCAGATCCAGCGATTCCGGGTCGCGCGTGGGAATTCGTTAATTGTTCCGCTAAATAATTACGACATGGAAATCCGAAAAACCCGCTAGATTTCCCCAAATTCTCCCTGCTAGCTTTCCTCCTCTCTAGTGCTGGATCGATGGCCGGGGGGATGGGCTGATTAGATTGTTCACACCGCACGTCTCACCCCAAAAATGAGAGGGCCCCCGGGTGGCCAAGGGCCGAAAAAGGGCCCTCTCGACTAATGAAGCAAGAGGGGGAAAAGTGGGAGTAGACGTTGTGGAGCAGCTTTTTCAGATGCTTTGAGCAAAAAGCAAAAAAGTTGATCGCGGGCGGGAGTCGAACTCTCGAGCCTTGGAATGAGAGTGGGGCGCTAACCACTAGGCCATGAGGTTGTTGACGTGAGGAGGCCAATGAGGTTTTTTCAAGGGTTGTGCGACTATTTCTGGCTAAATTAAACCTGGTATAATATTCAGCAATAAGTCAAAATCGGGAATAACATCGTAATTTGGATTTTAAAGTATTAGAGCCTTTGTTACAGGTCAAAGCAGTTATTTGTACCAAAAATAGACTAAATATACGTAATAATACATCTTAATTTGTAATTCAAGGCATCAGAGCGTACTGTATCGCTACGAGAACGTTATTTAGCTTTAGTAGACGCGGCTAAATTCCTCAAATTATTTAAAACCAGCCGCTTACAGCGGCTTTGCCGCTGCAAGCGGCTGGACTTCGGGCTACCCTTTCCGCTCCCTCCCCCTCCCTTTGTGATGGTTTTAGATACTTTAAACGATTTAAATAATGAATTAAAATAATTAAAAAGTATTAAAACAAATGAAAAAGCGATCTGGTTCGATCGCGGGAACGGGCTTGGGGACGGGCGCGGGGAAAGGGGGCGTGGCCTCCCGGGGAGAGGGCCCCCACTCGTTTTATTAAGGCGCCACTTTCAAAGTTAATTATTTTTATTTAAACAAAAACTTTTTCATAATTTTTTGATCATTTATGTGGTTTCTGACTACGCTCTATCCAAATCCGAAGAGACCTAAGCTCTAGCTCCTTTCCCCTTCGAGTTATAGTTGGCTTCTGACAGACAGACAGACAGACACCACTACTGAATTCTTATAGTTGATTACGTAATTGTAAGTAATTGATTTAAAAAACGGGCTTAAAGCGTGTTATTAAGTATTGTAAAAGTATTGTAAGTTTTTAAGTAAATACTTGTAAATACTCATAAGGGTCATATACGCAGATAAATGGGTGCAACTTTAAAATTTTGTCTTTTGATGTAATGTAATAATTTGAATATATTTTTGTGTTTTCCATTTAGTAGCAGAACCAAAAAAAATAATATTATTATTATTATTCGCACCCACTCGACACATATTATATAATCATTTCAAAATCCCTATTTTCGTAAACAAAAAGCTTAAAAAAGAATAATAAATCCCTGTGTACAATTCCAATTCCATACAGGGACGTGAGAGCTGTGAATCAGCCTGTGCTGTATAAACAACACCCACACTACCGTATCCCAAAAAAATGGGCGACAGAAATAAACATCAAAATGGCCGGCAATAATCACAGGGCACGCCGTATCACACACTCAAACACAAGATTGTTTAAATTATTTTGCGGGAAATATAGGGGATAAAAATGGCTGTCGACTACGGGAGTATACTTTGGACGAAAGCGGGCGTTTTTTTTTAAGGGATACCTATGTAAATCACAAGCGAAATAGGCAAATACAATAGAAATAGAAATTGGCAGAAAATAGGCTATTGGAGAGGTCATGCAATTTTCTAGGAAGAAGCTCTTCAACTTAATAAAATTTATATAATCGGTTCTTTGGCATTATCGGGAGGATTAGTATTCCTAAACGAAAAAGTCAAACATTTTTAGTAAAAAATACATAAATATCGATTTTTGGACCGAAAAAGGCCAATTTTCGATCAAAACTTCATTTTTAAACAATTTCTTAATTTTGGATACTTTTATCGCTGAAACGATAGATAAATTATGCTAAAAACACTGCTAAATTAATTGCTAGGTGAATCTGGCATCACTAGGCGTCTCTGGACGTGTATCACCCCCCCCCACACCCCCGTTAATGCCAAGAGCTACACCTAAACATGAGCAACTTCTTCATCGTCCTCCCCTGCACCATCCGCTTCCGTTTCGTCCTCATTTATATACGTCAAAAGAGAGGGGAATTCATCTCGTAGAAGTCGCTTCAACAGATCATCTTCTTGGCCGCAGTAGGTGTGCTCGCATAGTGACAGTACCTAAGTTTTATTGGTGTTATTACTAATTTAAGCCCTTTAAAATACCAATAATGCGCCTTTAATATTATAACTATTATATAATCGTAATTAAATGAATTAGTAATTAAATCCGACTTTAATTTTCCATACCTGCGTAACGACAAATGAGGCGCTATAGGTGTGACAGTCATTTCGAGTCTTAGCATTTGCCACATGCTGTAAATACTCCGTCCACAGTTGGAGCATGAACTCGTCGCATTGAGCATTACAGGGAGAGCTGAAAAAAAAGTTTTAAAAAGCTAAATCTACATAGACTAAATTATCTAAACCGATAAATGCTATAAAGACAATTTTAAGGCATTTAAATTACAAAAATAGCTGGAAATATTGCTGCATTAAGCAAAAGCGCAGGAAAAAAGAAAAAACATAGAGAAAACTATATTTTGCTTTCAAATTCATTTTATTTTCATCTTCCGACGCACCCAATCAGCTTCTCCAAGTCGCGGGCCAGCGTGTAGGAGACGCGCGCAAAGTGGAGCGTGTGCTGAAAGTTATTTGATTATCATTTTCGTTCTTTTTGAGCTTTATTGTAGGTAATACATCCACGTATTTATGTATTTACGCACACACGTAATATTTCTTGTCCTACCTGTGATATATTCAACGCGGCTCTTCCGGCTACGGCCCATTCGACTGATAATCCAAGATCGGACAGCTCTTCGACCAGCCGATTTAGCGCCGATTCCGAATCCAGCACCAGTGGGCGCCACTTTTCCTCCTAATAGCAAGTAAATAAATCAAAAAAACAACGAAATATTTCAAAACTTTCAAAATTCCTTACCGCCATCCGCGTCCTCAGCCCCTGCACAACATTCTGAAAGTTCGTCTCCAACGCCACGTTCAACGCCGGGCCCAGAAGGCGGTTTACCTAGAAAACACAAATTGTTCTACCTCAACGCTTCCTAAGGAATCCCTGCTAGCTACCCACCTCAAAATTCAACTGCAATCCCATGCTCGTCAACTCGGAGCAGTTCTGCATCAATATCCGCCAAGTGTACGCGAGAACGGCGGTCGTTGGCGCGACTTCTGAAATTTTACTTTAAACGTATTTTTCGAATTTATTAATTTTGTTCTAAAAAATGATAAAAACGTTAGTTAATTCATGAGTTTAACAACATTTAGCTACCAACCAACAACATGACGGCGCACAAGTGATAGCAGCATTCCCAGTTCGATGGAGCACCATTGAAGCACCTGAGTCGGTCTTAGTCCAAAGATTAGTTTTTAGCATTACCTGGCAGTAGTGTTCCCTTTGGGTGTGAAATTCTGAGGCCACGTCGCAAACGGCAGTTGTGAAAAGCCCGGTTAACTGTTTAACATAGCTAAAAATTTATCGATAGGATAAGGATTTTTTTATCCTACCTCAAAGGCTCCTCACTAACCGCCACATCACGACATGCATTTCTTTGCAAGGTGGATCTCCTCCGTAGGTACAAATCGACGGCGTACGTGCCTAAAATTTTATAAGATTAGCACGACACATTTGCTTTATTTTGACTTTTTTCTTTCTTATTGTCGATTTCCTTTTCTCTTTCTACTTTCTTTCGTTCATAGGGCAAGCTAGCAGAGCTTATTTGAGACAGCCCACCTCGATCTAATTGTTTCAACAAGGAAATGGCCTTTCGCATGGCCCTAGGCCCGCCGTGGACAGCGCCTGGGCGTCGAATGTCTTCGGAGAGCAGAGTGACAATCTAAAAATTATGTTTTGACGTTTAATTTTGAATTTCTGACCTGTTGCTCCCGCTGCATCATTTGAGTATCAACTGCTGTCAACTTTGCGTTACAATCTTTCCACTGCATTACAAGATCCACCGCCTGAAAAGAGAAAGATGTAATTTTTATGCAGCGACAACAGTTTGCGGGTATGGTACTCGTAAAAACTAACCTGTTCTATATCCCTGTTTGCAATACAATCGTCAACTTCTGCCGGCAAGGCTTCAAGCCACGCCGTTTCTTCTTCGTCTAAAACGGTATTTAATTTCCTAGTTTTTCTATAAAAATAGATATCACTACGTTTTAAAATCATCCTTACTTAATGGCTCCTTCTCTTCCTCAACCCCATCGGCAATCACAGCTAGCGGCCTTCCCATCGTCGACCGCTCGGCCGCCTTATTTTGCACCGATTGACGCCGGCCTCGGATTGTGGCTTGCCTAAAAACAGCTAAAAGCCCATTTTCCTGAAAAACCTCTGCAAGCTGCCCTCCTGCAACAGCACCCGCTTTGCCGTCTCGATTTCGTCCAACCATTGCTTTTTCACGCGAGAGGATTCACAGCGGTAATACCTGAAAAGGCGCTCAATTTCCTAAAAACTAATAAACCTGTGCTCGGGGAAGATTAAGAGTTTAAAAAGCTGATCGGCGGATGCCATCCCACGGCTTTCTCTATCCTTCACATTCACCGCGGCCAGAGCGTTGAGAGAGAATGTAGATTCGAGGCTATAATAAAAAAAGATTTACCGATATTCTAGAAATTACATTTCTTTAGTACTTTTAGTATCCGAATCTATCATAGATTAACAAAAGCCAACCTATATTTCCCGCTGTTTGGATTCCCCACCAGCAATCGGTCATTCAGCAAAATCAACATCTAAAACGATAACTACACTAAAAATTCGATAGGAAACCTGTTTTTGAATCGGCTGCTTTGTCTCACCATCCAGCAAGAACATTTCTCCGAAAAGAATCACTCGATCGGATGGTCGAAAACTATTCAAAATCCCCTAAAACTTGTTGATTTCAATTTTTGCGACACAAACCGCAATCCCGTCCATTCGCTGCATCAAAAGCTGAACCGGATTCTGATGGGCAGCCGTGGTAGCGGAAGAAACAGTGTGAAGAGACGACCGATCATCCCCGGCCATACCGAGAAGATTTTCTGGAATATTGATAGTATTTTATACGTGTTGGCTCTATTATGCCCAATCTTTCGACAAAAATTGCCCACCTATTAAATTCTTCTGCTCCGAAAGCATCGAGCTGATTTGGTAGATCTCGCGCTCCAGGTCTAAACGAGGTTCTTCACGCTAAAATAAAACCCACGTGAGATTTCCCGGCTAGCATCGATGAACTGGTGATAGTCCTTGAAAACATTATTTTTCAGCGATTCCTAGGAGCCAATTTAAGGTCGTTGACGTTGAAAACCTGGGCTTCATGGTTGACAGCCGACATCTCGGTGCGCAATGCTTTGAGTTGTCGAGTTTCCTGCCCATCTTTCACGTGATGCAACCGTTGTCGAATATCTAGAGGTCGTTTTTGATTTTATTTATGTAGCTTTGTGATTTCTAAAGATGGAAACTCACATTCCGAGGGGCTAAACGCATCCCCCTCAAGAACTTCCTTTGTATTGGCTGATTGCCGCGAGGAGACGGTCCGAAAACTCGCTCCGGGCGAGGACATGATAGCTTTAGGTAGGCCTTAGGTTGAAGATATTAGAATTTTAGTTCTTACTTTAAATTTGTTGCCTAGATCGCCGTTGTGTATCGGCATTCAGCCTTCAGGCTCCTCGTTGGTTTGGACTACACGCGACTCCAATCTACATCCAGCCGGTAGAGCTTATGAACATTCGATAAGGACTGCCTAAAAAGTTTCAAGTTTTTTCTTCGAGGATAAAAAATAATTATTACAAATTAAAATTATATTATGGCGTAGAAACATTGGGACTAATACGAATGCTTGAACCGCAAGTGTTGTGGTGTGTCTGGTATCTGCCCGGCAAAACAAATACAAAATCGCGTAGTTCAGCTTCATTCCACGAAATCAAAAACAGCCGTGCGTGCGCTGTGAATCACAATGAAGACAGTTCAGAGGGCAAAGCGCGGCGCGCTGGCTCGTGCATGAGAGGCCAAAAATTGCGGGTTGGTGGCTGGGTAGAGGGGAAGGCGACGATCGTGTGTGCGCGCGTGGCTCGGCAAAACTGAATGGCAAAATAGCGGCCGGCAGACGCTGCACACACGCAAATCGCATACACTATTCACACATGGATGGGATGGGACAGAAAAATGAATTGGTGGTGTGGCTATGGAAATAGGGGGCGGAGTAGGCAGTAGCAAGAGACCGTGAGTACCATATAAATACAGTTGTGGGCTGTGGCACGAAAGCAAAACAACCTGGCCAACGTTGGAAGGGCACAATCTCTACAACAGGCGACGCGAATCTCAAACTAGGGGCAAGGGGGGAAAAGCACAAGTGGAAACGGGCAAAACTAGATGGGTTGATGGCGCGAAGTCGAGGGAGTCGCTGGCCTGCTTCAGTAGTTGTTGTAGTTGCCGTAGTTTGACTTATGCTAAAAACAAAAATACAAAAAAGAGAAAATCGAGTTGGTCTGATAACAGTTTTGCGATTTTCTAAACAGTAATTGTCGAAAAAATAGTCTAATTGTAAATTTTTGCTACCTCTTCCAATCCAGCCTTGCCCAAGTTATATTCGGAGCGCCGGCGTGCATCCGACTTGTCGTTCGCGTAGCGCGGGTTGAATGGAGTCTTGAAGTGGCCCGAGCCTCGCCAGTTGCCGCCGCTCGAGTTGCTAGAAATACGAAATTAATAAAAATGAATCGAGCGCCTACTTTTCCTTGTTGTAGCCATCATCTGCGCCTAGCGACAGTTTTTCGAACCCGGGCGCGATGCAGTGGGTGGAGGCGGCCTTGCGCAGGTGGCCCAACGAACGTCCGCTGCCGCGCGCACTGTCCGAGTGCCCGTCGTCGTTTGAACGGTTGTCCACCGGTGGCTTCTGTTGAGGCAGGTGCGGCCGGGTACGCTAAAGAAAAATATGAGACTGAGAAAAGAAGCTCCTAATTTTTATGCCTATGTTTGTATTCTTCAATAGTTTGTTAGCTTAGAAACAGTAAAAAGAGCGCTGAGAAGCAGTGAAAATCCTGCCAGAATTACTAAAAAAAACCAAAAACGCTAGAAAAAATTACCGGCTTTTCTTCATTGTACTTGAGCTGATAGACGGGGGCGCCGGTGTAGCGGCTGCCGGTCTGGTAGCGCGGGGTGCCCATGCTGGCTCGTCGCATCGCCGGCGGGAGCGTCTTCTTTGCGTTGGCGACGAGATCGGCGACTAAAATGAATATACTAAAATAGAAAGTTTTATTTACATTCTTTTTCGCTCCGATCGCCCGGGTGCACGAATTCGCAGAGGTCGCCGTAGCGGCATTCCCCGCTTCCGCCCTCGAGGAAATTGTTGCACACCTTCGTCTTGTAGCGCGGGTCGGGCTTTTGAGAGTAGTTGTTCGGCTTGGCCTGGAAAAGAGAAATAGATAGCGATTCCCGTTTAACGGTCAATTACCGCGCACATAATGCGTGGAAGATCACCAAAAAAGTTCAAAGCAAATGTACCAAGCTCTGCAGCTCGCCTTGCCCGTGCGCATATCTGCAGTTGGCGCCGTTGCGGCAGGTCTTGGTCATCTGGAAGGCGTGGCAGAGGCGAGTCTTCTGCCCCGAGCGGTTGAACTGGCGCGTGCCCGGCTTCGTGAAGGTCTGCTGCTGCTGGTAGGCGGCGCCGGCGTCGAACGTTGTCGAGCGGTCAGCCGACCTAAAATTCGGATTAAAATGGAAAACATAAAGTATACCCATTCGCAAAGCTGCGGCCCATCACCGTCTGCGAGGTTTGCACGACGGGCGAGTGCTGGTTGTGGCCGCGCGGCTGCTGGTTGTTGATGTAGGCCATCTCGTTCGTTGGCAGCGGCGTAGACGTGCACAGCGGGTGCAGCGATTCCTGGGTGATGTTGGCCCCGAAGCCAGCTCCTGGAAAGCAGATATTTGAAAGAAAAGTGAGTTAAAGATACCACTCTGCATGTTCTGCTTGTAGTAGTGCTCGTTAGACTTGTACGACTGGGCCGAGGCACGCTGGTAGATGGGCGCCGAGTTCTGCGGCGAGGTCAGCGTCTGCTCCTCGGGCGGAGTGGCCACCATCGGCTCGTAGTAGCCGTTGTGGAAGGTTGGCGCGACGTAGGGCGGATACGGCGACATCTAAAATTCAAAAGTTTAAAAAAGGAAGGATTGCTTACCATGACCGGGTTCGGCTGACACGGCATGTACTGCCCGCGGCTCGGGTCGTATGCGCAGGGCAGGTAGTAGATCGTGGCCGGTGCGTGCGCGGGGTGCATTGGCGCCGCGGATGTAGGGACTGAAAATACACAATAAAAATGAAAAAGCATTAAAACAAACATAACACTAGCATGACGATGTCATAAAGAGAAAACAAAAAGCTCACCCGCTCCGTTGTACTGCTGCTGCGGGTGGCACATGTAGGCCTGGCCCATCGGCTCGCTCGTCGGCGGGTAGCACTGCGGCTGGTACATGTATTGCTGAAAAAGGCAATAAAAATCAAAAAGAGAAATTGATACCTGCTGGTAGACGGCTTGCTGCTGCTGCATCGGGTTGCCCTGGTCCATTTCAGAACCTGAAAGTTGCGAGAGTTGAGATTTTAATCGGAAAGAAAGGTAGCAAATGGAAACAGGATCGGAAATTTCGGGGTCAATAGGAACCAGAAATCATCAAGAAACGTGCTAGAAGGAAAAAGACAGCATCTTATTTTGTTAAAATGTATAAATAAACATTTATAAAGCAAAGGACATCGCAAAAAAACGATTAAGCGGGCGTGTAAAAGACTGTAAACCAAAAATTAAGTTTAAAGTGGCGGTCCGAAGCGAAAAAGTCGATGATTAAAGGGATAGGGGCGGCATAATGCAATCGATTACGCGCGGGAAAGAAAATGTCTCTGCGCCTCTCCCCTATGCGCGCTCGCTGCCCTGTTGGCTACTTGCCAATTTGTTGATGGGGGGGGGGGGGGATCGACACATGCCGTCGGCAGCCCTTTAAGGCCAAATTTCAATCGGAATAGGGAAATAAGCTGGAAAAGACGACAAAGCTACAAATTTTTGAACGCGCTTTTGGCTTTATTGAATAAAAAGTCTTTTAGCCGTAAAAGATGCAAAAACCGGACAAAAGGACGTCGAAAACCATTTTGAGTTGACCTCTTCCTGGCTATCGTAGTCGTAATCTTACGCCCATGTCAACTTATAAAAAGAGGGCTCGGAAAGTCTCGGAATCGATTCCGGCCCACAAAAAAATTCCGAAAATCTCTGCAACTGCCGGGGAAAAGCAATAATCGTTAGGCGGTGGGAGCGGGCCAATTTTTCCAGGGAACCACCGAAAGTTCTCACTTATTGGGACTACGCAGTTACAAAAAGGATCGGGGGAAATTAGGGTTTACACCAATCGTCCAAAACGCTGTTTTTTTTGTGGCGGAATCGATAAATATAGGTCAGAACCGGGTTTATCGTCAGGAATTAGGTGGGGGAAGACCCTTATTAGCAAAGAAAAACGGTCTTTATTTTAGACGTTTGGGTACCGTACAATGTACCGGTTTACGATACTCGTCCAAAAGAGTTTTTTGATGATCAAATCGATAAATAAACATCAGAAATGGGTTTATCGTCAAGAACTAGGTGGGGGAAGGCGCTTTTACAGAAAGAAAACCGGATGTAAGGGGAGCATTAGGGCCTTAAATTCCTTCGAAAAAAGCTAAAAAATAAAACGAGTTTTTCTTTGCTAAAAAGGGTTTCGGCCACGTGATTCTTGATGATAAACCCATTTCTGACGTAATTTATGGATTTGACTAAAAAAAAACCGCTTTTTGGGCGAGCAAACAGTCCGCTTCCCGTTTTATAGTGTCGAACCGATCCCGAATGTCGACCTAAGCTTCAGAACCACCCTCAGGTGCCGCCAAAATCAACGAAACAACTCTTTATTCACGTGAAAGACTAGTGCTTTGACTTTGGCAGATTGATGGCCAGGGTACCCGGGCTGATGGCGGCCGCCTTTTCGAGGAGCGTCTCGATGTCGACGCGGCGGTTGTCGTTGAAGTTGGTGAGGGCGATGAGCTCGGCCTTGGATTTTGGGGTCTAAAAGGCTATCTTATTTGCTATTTCCGCCTACCCTCTGGTCCAAATATGTCCAAAGAGCTAGGGTTTGGAGATAGTACGGGTGATCGAGGCCAAAGCACACTTCAAAGATGTTCATGGCGTCGTAGGCGTAGGTGATTGCCTAGAATTTTAGGTGTAATCGGTCAAAAATTAATTTTTTTTTTGTTTTTATTTTGTGGTTCTTTTGCATTATCGGGGGAGACCAACTTTCTTTTCTTAGGATCTAATTTTCAAATATAAATAGTGGAATTGTTGCTAAATCGGTTTTACTATTCCTAAGCGCGAAACTTCACAAATTTTTATTAGACAAATCTGAAAAATGTCTATTTGCGACCTGGAATGGTCGATTTTTTTACCAAAATTTATACTTTTTAAGACATTATTTACATTTTTTATATAGTTTTTCTGGTTGAAATATAGTAATATTTTACGAAAAACACTATTAAAACAGTTTCTATTAAGTTGCTAGGCACTCTGGCACCTCTAGTAAATCACCTCTTCACGATCGTCCTTTTCGATCAACGCCTTGACGATATGTAGAAGTTGGTAGCCGACGTGACGATCAGCTTTCGGGAAACATCTAAAATTTTTTATAGGTTTTTCTCCGGTATATTGATTTCTTACAGTTTGTAGTTCTCGTATACTTGTTTGTGAATGGAGGTGATGTTCTCTTCGAGGGATCCGGTGATGTGGAGGAGGGCTGTGCGCAGGCGAGTGATGTAGACGTTCACCGGGTGCAGGACGGATTCGGCGGAGGCGAGCAGTTCGCGAAGCTGGAATAGGTTTGATTAGTTTCGAACCTGATTTCTTATGGGGTTGTGGTTTGTAAGGGGAATTTGTAGTCTGTTTTGAGGTCTAGGATTGATTTTCAGGTATTTTTCCAGGGTTGCTTTCGAGGGATTTGGCAGGGTTTCAAGAGGTTTCAAGGCTTGCGGAAGCGGATGTGATTTTTTGATTCTTTTTGAGGGAATGGATGACATTTGGGGTCATTGATCAGGTTTAAGCTGGTTAAAATGCGAGTTTTTGTATTTTTTTGGAAACTTCGGTGGTCGTTTCGGGTCATTTTTGTAATTTTTGGAAACAGGGGGCCAAACCCGGAGAGCTATTTGCCTTTTTTGCCCATTCATCCGGGTTCTGCCTCAATCTCATCTAAAAATTTATATTTTTCTAGTTGGAGATACCCTTAAAAATGTTGCTACCTTTTCAGCCGGACACTCCGGGTCGAACTGGGCGGGCAGGCTGAGCATCAGTTGTTGGGCTTGCTAAAAAAGAGCTTGTATTTTGTAATTCATTGATCTGGACGAACCTGAACAGTATCATCATCGGTCATCGAGCCACACTTTGCGCACGCAATATAGCACGGCTCCGAGGTCTCAGTGATCACCTGCGGCTCATCGCAGCACGGGTTTGAGCACCTGAAGGGATCCGGCTCAATTTTCTCTGCTAGTTTGCCTAGGGCAAGGGAAGATGGGCAAGCTAGCAGAAAGCATTGAGGAAGCACAAAGACCTACCTGATCGCGGTGAGAACATCATCGGCAGGATCCATACAACGCGAGCATTCACAATCGAAAAACCAGCGGGTCTAAGAGAAGGAAGATTTTGTAAAATTGTTAAAATCCTGATACCTTGAGCTCTCGTCGTCGGATGTGTTTGCTGCGTCCGACGTCTATGTAGGAGATGAACGACTTGCTCGTGTCGTCTGAATGGAGGTAGTTTAACTCGTGGTTTTAATAGAGTTATCATGAGTTCGCTATATTATTTTTTCTATTTTTTATTTTCCGGCTGATTCGAAAGGCCGGTCTAATCGAACCGGTTACTTGTCGAAAGCGTCGGATTGGCTGTGCAAGTCGCGCTAATCGTTTTTATCTGAAAAGTCGAACGGATCCGTCCAGAAATTTTGAACTTGTCGAAAATGTTGGACCCTTTCCTAACCTTCTTGATCTGAGAAGTCGGATAAATCCGTCCAAAAATTTTGAATTTCTCGCAAAACACGGACCAACCGAATCCAACTACTTTTGAACTTACTGGCATCAATATCAGGCACCAGCGGCCGGATCACCACCCGGAATCCGTCGAACACCATCGAGCAGGTCGGGCGGCAGGAATGGTTGTAGAGAGAGACACCTTAAATCGATATTTTCAGGTATTTTGGATTTAACTCGCCCAAGTCGATGGCCATTCCCACTTCGTTGCCTGCATTAGTGTGAATCGAGTGGGAGTTGATTTGGATTTTGCAGAAGAGGTCGAAGAAAACTTCCTGAAAAAATGGGGGATATTTTTTAGTATGCATTATAGCGTAGCGGTTAGGGTTGCAGCGGGTCAAACTGAGGGTCAGGGTTCGAATCCGTTGGCGGCATATTGTTTTGCTTTTGGTTTTCCGGCAAAATTTTTGAATGGGCTAAAGTTCTGACCCTTTCAGGCATCTCGTCTCGCGGAATGTGGTCATCTTGTTCAGCAGCTTCTCAAAGTACTCCATTTTGGCCTCGTCTTTCCTAAAATGAGGAAAAGGTACGGTAAGCTGAGTAGTACGATACATACCGTATTTCGTCCTTGTGGTCACAGAGCGAGCTGAAAGGCCTCTCCCTTTCCCATCCATATTTGTCGCCGTTTTCGCGGATGAATTGTACCCTGTCGATGACTTTGGATTGGAAGAGGATCTCGGTCAGGGGAAGGTTCGGGAACACCTGAAAAGCCGAACCCTAGACGATTACGCATTAATGATAGCCCAAAATCGCATAGATTTATTTACAAAATCAAAAAGCAAAAAGCTTGGGCTCTCTGGGGCTCGAACTCGGGCCATGTGCCTGATGAGCTAGAGCTTAACCAATTCTCCACGAACCTTTTGGAGTCGGCGACACTCGTTACGATGTAATTTCCAGGCCAGTCTTTGGCATTCCTTGTTACAGTACCTTAAATGAGTGTTTTTAAGTTTAAAGGTATTGCGAGCGCAGAATCCACAAACTTCCAAGTTATTTTAAAACGTGCTCAACTACCGTACCTGGTATGATTGCACGCTGAGCATTTGAGGAGTTTCCCATCTCCAGGCGCCGCTCGCATACAGTACGAGCAGAACATCTCGATTTTCGTGTTGATGACTTGGTGGGCGAACGGGTGCTCGAACAGCTGAAATTTGCATTAAAGAAAATGTTAAAAAATAAATTAATCGTGTCTTAACTAGCCTTAACTTCAAAAATTACGCAATTTTGGAAATCGTTTCGTTCTTGCATTTTTTTTCTTGGAAAAATAAAGAGATCCAAAAACTTAATAACAAATAAAATACCAATACAATACTTTAAACTCAATTAAAGAGTAAAATTAATTTAAATTTAGTTAAAGCTCGTTTAATTTCTTTTTAAACTTGTTAAATGAATCTTTAATAAATACTAATGCCTAAAAAATACCGTACCTTGATGCGAGCATGAATGCTGGAGATTTCGTCAGCCGGCTGCTGGGCTGGGCCCTTTTTCTGGTGATCCTTTTGCTTGGGCACCATTTTACCTAGAAAAGAAAACTAAAAATATCAATTTTAAAATACTACAGTATTTGCAGAAAGTTTTAAAGGAACCTGGAAGCCTAAAAAATCTATAGATCAACGGAGAAAAAGGCTTGGAACCATGGGGGATAGGATGGGACTAGAGAAAGGACCGGATCGGACCCGGCTAGAGTGGCCACGGCAAGATGGTGGGAGGCAAATAGGCTGGAGAGAGAGAGAAAACGAGATAGAGAGAGAGAGAGAGAGAGAGAGAGAGAGCTGAAAAAGAGAGACATTACACATCCTGCACCCCACGATCCTAGAGCGCCACCAGAGAGGAAGCCGCGAGACCATGCCGATACTCTGGGCCTACTATATGTGACTGTTTTAAAGGGGTTATTAAGTCAAAATTTGAATATACGGATTTTTCGAATTTTGCATTATTTTTCACCTAGACTTCGTTTCAAAACATTCAATACATTGTATAATTGATCAAAATATATTTCCAAACTTCAAAAGGCCGCTTTGTACCTTTTTACCGTATGGCCTAGTGGCTAGCGCGGCTGTCTCTCAAGTTCAGGGATCGAGTTCAAACCCCCGCCTGGCTCAAACTTTTTGCTTTTTTGTCAGTATACGCAAAAGCCGTGTGGTTTTCAGGCAATTCAAAAGCAAACCTGTAGATTTCCCCAAAATTGCGGGAATTAGAAAAAATAAGAATTGTGTTTCCTTTTTCTTATCTGTATTTTTCATTTTTCCTAAAGTTTTTTATTAACAGAACAGAACACACACACGTCTCATCGCATACCGGGTGGATCACATATTGAAGGGGGAGGGGTTAAGGGTACTTGGAAGGCTCAAAAAGGGGGCATGGCCTCGGTATTCAGAAGCCGGGGATATGGTTCAGCATGGCCTCCGATGACCAGTAGTAGTTGGGGGCCCCCGGGGAGAAGCACGTGTTGTCGGAAAGGGTCTAAAATATTGAAATATGCAAATTAGGCGGAAAAGAGACCTGGAAACCAAGAATCTACTGCCAACCAATTTGTGTGAATTTTGAGCATTATTAAACGATTTTATAAGAAAGCACCTCCGTATAATGAAGAAATTAAAAGATCGTTTCCCGTTTTCTTTCAAATCGTCTTTGTCTCCCACTTTCTCTCGCTCTCTCTCTCTCTCTCTCTCTCTCTCTCTTTATCTCGCTCTCTCTCTTTCTCTCTGTCTCTTTCTCACTAAATCTCTCTCTCTCTGTCTCCCTCTCTCTCGCTTTCTATCTCTCACGACTCACTCTCGCTCTTTCTCGCGCGCTCTCTCTCTCACTGTCTCTCTCTCACGGTCTCCCCTCTCTCACCTCTCCCTCGGTCCAGTACATAATGTAGAAGTTGCACATCTCGTCCTCTCCCGTAGCCCCCATCTCGATCACGTGGTCCTCGTTATTCTCGATGATGCACCTGGAATTTGTCATAATATTCATTATTTTTTATATAAATTGCTAATAATAATATAATTACTTAATCTACCTAGAATTTCAAGGCAATTTAAAAATAAGGAATTAGCCTAAAAAATTATAACTATTTTTCTTTACCTGGCGGCCAGCATATCGCCCTTTCGGATCTCCATCGTCTTGTTTTCCACCTGAAAAAAAGCAGGTAAAAATAATAAATATAGACAATTAAAACTAAGAAATTACTGTAAAAAAACCAGATTTCGAAGCGTTAAAAAATCTTCTTTAAAAACCCGAAACCCGAAAAATACCGTACCGGGACAAACATCTGCGGCAATTGCGGGTCGCGCTGTCCGATCTTTGACCACCGATCCTCACCCTGTGCATTCTAAATGATACCCAATTACCGTATACCGGAAAACACAGTACCTCCTGCACAATCCATCCGCTAACATCACGGCCATGACGATGGGTGTGGGTACGGTAGGCGAATGGGTGCAGTACAACAGACTCCTCCATTACGCAGGCTGTTTCGAAGCTCTCTGAAAATTTGAGGATTTCCGGCAATCAGCAGCGGTTATTTGGGAAGTTGGACGCAAAAATGATTCTTGGGCATGGTGGCAGGGATTCTTTAGGAAGGCACTTAAAAATACCCAGCGATACTTTAGAAGAACTTTAAAACATCCTTTTTTCTGAATTTTTATTTTATAGTATTTCTCAAGCTAACACTAATGCGCGAATTTCACAGATACTGTAGCTGTTTTTTAAAATACCGTACCGACGCTCTGCGGCGGCACCTGGCCTCCAGTCACCAGTAGCATCGTTGCCGCCTGCTTTGGCTGCGGCTCCTCAGTGTGGGTGAGGGCGATTCCGGTCCTGGAAGTATGCGGAATGCTTTAGTTTTGCAGCAGAATTTGATGTTTCACGCGTGTCCCCCTCCTGTCACCGTCCCTTTAAAGGGAACGAAAAGGATTTTTTTACTACGGATTTGACTGTAGATATGGTACCTCTGCCTTCCCGCCCCCTTTAATCTCACTCACTTATCTTCCACATCCTTCTCGTGCATATAGTGCACCTGCATCACCAAGAAGTTGATGTTCGACGAGCCCCCAACTTGGAAGCCGACGTCTGAAAGGAGCACGGTATTGCTAAAGTAATTTTGCAGAAAGATTAGTATTTTAAGATCTGCGTAATTTTAAACCGAACGAACCCTTGGGCAATGTGAGATCGGGCGCATCCTTTGCCCACGCATACAAAATGTGCGGTTTCGATTGGCACACCGGGCCCTTCTCGAGGCTCTCATAACGGGCCGACATCTCACCGCAATCCCTGAATATCAAGGTTTTTAGAAAATCCTACTACAGGGTGGCCCGAAAGAGTGGTGACCGCAGCTTGCACACCGAATTTCTCTGTTCCCTTATGGGTTTGGGCAAGGCGGGGTTATGGATTCTGTTTCCTATAGATGTTGGCTAAATTTGAGTATACGCTCAGCGCACAACGTAGTCAAGCTTTTTCATTAGGAATTTAATTCCATAATTCAAAGTCATGGATTTTTTGAAATCGACAAAATCTAAAATAAATTCCTATGGATGAAAATGCTTAACGATGCCTTTTCCATCTCTTTAACGAGCGTGCCTGACGTTTCCGGTGAAGCTCGTAGTGCAGCTATGGCTCAGAACCCTCCAACTTGGTCAAGTGATTGAGGTCCGTTATTAAGGGTTTTGACCAAACCGTTTTTTGCTCGCCAAAAGAGCCATCCTGCAGCCCCAACCCGAATCCGCAGAATTTTTTTGTGTAGCCGGTCTGAAAGGCCAAAGTGTTGGCTACTCCCGTTTCAATTTTGGGTTCGCTCGGGAAAGTCTTCGTCGAGTTATGAGCCAAATTCGGGCTGAGTGCCTGCGTGCCAGCACCTCCGATTTCCATCCGCTTCCCCGCCAGTTTTTCCGAATTTGACGCAAACAAATAAAAAAGTGGTTATACCATGTGGAAGATAACTGTTTAAGGAATATAATGTGCTAAAATGAGCTTTCCTCGATCTATAGTTTTTCAGAAAATCGAAAAAGTTTCGGTCACCACTCTTTCGGGCCACCCTGTATACAGGGTGTCCCAAAAAAAAAGCACCCCTCCGGCATTTCGCCGCATTACATCCAATCGGTCCCATACTTTGCCCAAGGGTGTATCAGACCATAAATAACCACAATCCTGAGTTATAGCCCGATCGCTACAGTAGTTTTCGAGTTATCGCCAAAAACCTATTTTTGACGCGATTCTTAACAGTTTTTTCGGCTATCTTTTTTGACTTTGCATCGATTTCCATCCATTCCGGCTGCGAATCCCTAATTTCGCTTAATATCGGGGGGTAGAGTGAGGGAGCGGCAGGCCTCCTCAGGCTTTCTTGGGCCGAATTGCATTTCCGCGCCTGCCGACGCCTGGCGGAAGCCTAAGGATTTACGCAGGCTTTTTATGCAATGCGTAAAAACATGTTAATCTGGTTACTGCATCTAAAACCTTGGTAGCTTTGACGCAATAACAAATTACAAGGATGCCGAAGGTGGGAAAACTATAGGCGAAATGTCAGGAGAAGGCAGTTGCATCCCCCGCCGGTTCGAACCGACCCTTGGCTTTTGTGTATCCGCGTGCTATTAACGTATCGTGCCGTAAGGTTTGTCAAAAACAGTAACCTAACTTTATAGAATATACTTGAACCCAATACAGCTGTTCGACCCACCGGAAGTTTAAAAGAATTCCTTATTTGTTCGGCAAAACTTCGAATATTTTACGACTTTACATAAAATTCCCAGATAAAGCCTGACTAATTAGAGGTCAGGCGTACTTTGCATAGCCCAGGCTCAGCCTAGGCGATGCCAATTAGAAAAGCCTGAGGAAGCCTAGGCAAGCCTAGGCTTTAGCCTAGGCCTCCCTCACTCTAATCGGGGGTGACTTTGGGTTACAAAAATTGTTGAAATCAACGGTTATTTGATCAATTTTTATCAGGAAAAAAATCTCTAGGGGTGAAGAAGGCTTGCCGCTTCATTTTCACTTAATATTCGAATGGTTGATTCCGACGAAAATCTTATGAAAAACGGATAATCAAGTTCATTTTTGTTGTATCTCGAAAACTATTGTAGCTGGCGGGCTGTAACTCAGGATTGTGGTTATTTAGGGTCCAATACACCTCTGGTCCAAATTTGGGACCGATCGGATGTAATATGGCGAAATGCCGGAGGGGTGCTTTTTTATGGGACACCCTGTATATAAAAAATAGTGTTTGTGTGTGTGTGTGCATTTGCATGCAACTTCCGTCAGGGTGTCCGGAGGATATCTCGAGAGGGGAGCGGTTTGAGGAGGTGTTTGATACGTCATTAGATGCGTAATGGGCTGGAGATGACTGCACACATATCGTATTTTGCAAAATATGGTGTTTTCGACATTAAAATTAAGTTTTTCTTAAAAATTCCGACATTCACTTTGTTAGGATAAAATTAGAATACGCCGGAAGTTGCAGTAGCCTATATAAAGGCCCAAAGGGAGCGTTTTTCATTTTTTGTCATCAGAATTCGGCACAATTATGCAAAACAAAGAACATAATAGGATTAGACGGGGCCAGGGTTGAAAAGTCGCGAAGCGGCTTTTCAACCCTGGTCGTAAATAATCTTTGATAGCCTTAGCCTTAGAATTTTCGCAAAAAAAAACTCCGCTAGTTCTAATTCATTCCCACTGACTCTCTCTCTCTCTCTCGCTGTCTGTCTCTCACTCTTACATTCGCTCTTCCTCTCTCTCGCCCACTCTCTGTCTCTTACCCTCTCGTCTCTTGCTCTGTCATCCCGAATTCTATTGGGCTAAATTCCTTAGGAATCTATGCTAGCCAGCCTGACCCAGATTTCGCAAAGAATCTCTGCTAGTTCACCTCATAAGATCCAAAATTCTCTCATTCTAAAATTCCCCAGTTCTCTGCTAGCCAGCCTACGTTAATCGAAATTCCTCGTATGTTCTCCATGAATGTCTCCATGAATGTCCCCCAAGCTCTATCATCTTCGAAATTCCCCAATGCTCTCGGCTGGCTCAGAATTTCCCCAAATAATCACTGCTGGCTTGCCCTACGAGCCTCAAAGTTCCCCAAATGCTCTCTGCTAGCCTCCCCTCCCGTACCAAACGGAATCGTAGCTTCCCGGCTCTTCACAACCGAACAGCAAAATGTGATGCGCCAGTCCCTTCTCCACCAACGGCTCAAAACCGGCTGAAAATGTCAATAAAATCTTGCAAACTACAGTGAACCAACTCAAATAGTGGTGCTTCTCCGGATCCAACGGGGCATACGTGCAAACATAGGAATCGGCCTGCAAAATGATATTTTATGTTTTTAGTGGTGTAGCCAAGTGGTTATGGCTTCTGTCTTTGAAGCCAAGGGTCGAGCGTTCGATTCCCTTCAGCTTAAAGTTTTTGCTTTTTGTTTAAAAATAAAACCGTTGACTTGCTACTATCGCCTAGTGGCTAACGCGTTTGTCTGTCACTCACAATGCCAGGGTTCGATCCCCGCCTAGGTCAAATTTTTATTTTTTGCTCAAAAATCACAAAAATTGATGTGTTTTTGCAAACCTTGGGCACGACTCCATCCGGCATCTGAATACGGTCGGTCTCGGCCAGGGCCGCCCCGCAAAACGCCAACAACAGCCACGCAGCCATTGTAGGCTCAAATAAAACCCTAAAAAGTGCTTAAAAATAGCCAAGATTTGTAGTAAAAATAACTATAATTAGCGTAAAACGGGTTGTATTTAAACACCAAAAATAATAGGGAAAAATGGGCTCCGGTGCCAGGATTAAAAAGGAAAAGCCATGACCCAATCACTAACCCCTAAAAAGCGCTTTATAAAGTCTGTTTTAAAAGATTTTAAAACGTTTAAAAACGCGTAATTCGTTAAATTCAGAAGCGTTTTAAACAAAACAGTAAAACTGGGGTAAAGCCTCGGATTAATAAAGCCGTAAACCGTAAACGAAAAGAGCCCTAAAAAGTGCTTTTTCAAGGCTATTTTAATATCTTTTTTATTGTCCAAAATTGATAGAATTACTGTAACCCGGGCTCGTTAATCTCATAAACGCAAAAAATGGGACACGCGCCTGGATTAATCAAGGAATAGTGGGAGATTTTAGAAGTGGCCGAGAGGGGCCCTGGCGGGTGGATCGATAGCCGGAGACCGCCAAAGGCCCTTTACTGGGCCTTTACGTCATCTCGAAACGGGGCAGAAGAGGAGGGGAGGGTCCCAAGAGGGCCCAAAACGGAACTGAGAATGGCATAAAATGTAATAAACATGTATTTAACGTCGAAAAGTGCAAAACGATTAGAAATTAAAAATTTACGAATTTCGAAAATTCCGGTATTTTATTTTATAAAAACTTTTTACCTGAAATGCATATCCCCTTGCCATAAATTCTGTAATCTAAAAAAGTATATTTTTACTTGATCACGACTGTAAATTCTGTTTTCTCTATAAATTCAGCCACTCACAATTATTCTGCATCAAAACAATTGGAATGATTTATTACGGAAGTATAAATAGTAGATTAATGCATAAATAAATGCAACGGATTGACAACAATAAAATTAAAAAAAAACACCGGCAATGGAAAGAGAATTGAAAGCACAGACGACCTGAGAAGTGAATTGGTGTGTGGAAGTTGTGGGCTGTAAGGTATCCTCATTATACCCAGTGCTGAGTCTCGCCCGCGGGTCTCGATAGTTGCTGGTAGAGCGGCATGGCTGGGGGTGTGCTATCGCCGGAAAGTCCTGAATAACATTTTTTTTTGTTTTCTTATAAAATCCAAATTTAAATAGAATTGTTTAATTGATTAAAGCACGTTATCACCTGCATAATCTAAAGATGGGGCATGCCGTCGCGCGCGCGGGCTATCCTGGGCTAGGCGCTGCGCGCTCAGCGGCAACGAGCCGCGCATCTTCGGCGATTCGAAAGACTTCAGCGGGGTTCGCACATTTCGCTGTTCTAGCTCTCGCTTGTGGGCTTCAAGCATTTTTCCCGTTTCGGCGCTGAAATTATTGTATTTTGTTTTCTAGTCGGTAAGCTGATTTTTTTCTAATCCTTTTCTCTCCGACCTACCTTTTTATCGTTGCAAAAACGGTCGTTCCAAGGAGATCCGGTTTGTCCATAGAAAGTCGCGGAGTCGCTAACCTGAAAAAATAAGCGGGTTTTCTTTTACTATTTAGATGAACAAAGAACTCCAATCTTACCAATTTTTTTAGTTTTCAATACTCAAAGACTATAATTATTATATTAAGCGTAAATAACTAGGAAAAACCTTTTAAATTAGTAAAAGACGCAAGTTTCCGGCAGCTAAAATGCACTCACCGAGCTTGTTCGCCAGCTTCATCCAACTTGGTAGACTTAAGCTTCTTCTTTTTCCGGCTGGCCGCTCGAAATCTGCAGATCATGATCATAATCGCGATTGAGACGATGACACCCAGTAGCGAAATATGCAGAAGATAATCAGGCTTGACAAGTCGTGGAAAATCTAAATTACTTTTCAAGCCAGCAAGTCCAGCGACAAACTTTTCAAAAAGGCCTCCTCGTCATGCTTCTCGCCCTGTAGATGCTCATCCGGTTCCATCTTTTCTTTAGAGGAATGCCCGTTTCCGGTGTCATCCGAGGGTAGAATTGTTATCGGCAGGATTAAGCGAGCCGGTTGGACACTGTCAGCGCGGACCTCGAGTTCCAGGTTTTCCGTTACCTAGAGATTCTGTAATTTCAAAAAAGCTTTTAGAACCTCATCAGAATTTCCAAAGGCTTGATACAAGACTTTTCCCTTGGTGATGTCGTTGTAGGTGAAGAAGAGGGCGGAATGAGACGAGCCGAGGTCGAGGGTGATGCGGCCGTAACGAGGTGGGGATGCGACAAGAAAACGTGGAGTTGCTCCCTAAATTTTTGGGTTCTAAGCTGGTAACGGGGGGGGGGGAGAGTTTAGAAGGAAAAGTTTCTTGGGTTTAACTAAACTATTTTTTTCAGAAATGCATCATCAAAATGGTCTACATTTTAAAATTCTAGAAACTTTCTCGAATTTCCGACTTTTTCGTCATCAAAAAGCTACTAAAATAATTATAAAAATATACATTACAACGCTAAAAATTTGGTAGGTAGGGATGGACTAGTCAGCTTTTCAAATAAGTTAAAAAATGACTCCTGAATTAAAAAAAATAGTTTGAAAATAGCCAAGCTTTGTCTACATTTTGTAATAGACAAAAAGCGACGTTTACCTCAAGCGCACTAGCGTTCAACTGCGAACTCGTGATCGGGGTTGTCGTGTTGGCCTCAACGATTACAGGTTGAGCAACAACCATTGATTTGACGACAATTTCCGAGCGATTCCGGACGGTATCCCGGCCCTCGTTTGCGACGACAAACTCGAAAGAGTCCTAAATAAGACAATTTTAGACGTAGATCTCGGAAAGACCAACCTTGTAGGAATGCATGTTAAGTTGTGCATACAACACGCGGCCGTTATCGACATCATCCTAAAATAGCATAAATAATTTTTCATAACTTTAAGAGTAAATACCTGACTAAACTCCTTCGTCTCCTTCTCGCCAGCTACCCAATAAAAAGTGCCGTTTTCCGGTGGAAGGACGATTTTGTACGAGATTTTGGCACGATCCCCGTTGGAAAACGCGCCAAGATGAGAGCTAAAAACAACTTTTAATTTTTCTTCTTTCACCTTGACTTCTTTACTTCTATCTTTCAAAAAATCACATAAATCCCACCGGCTGAGCACCACATAAGTTTTCCCCTGTTGATAGTGAATCGTCGTATGGTTCTCCAGCGCCAGATCCAAAGGTCGAATCTAGAAATATTTTTACTAAGTCAACTTTTCCCTACCTTTACAATGAGTGTTTTATACAGCCCATCAATTGAGAATACAATCACATCGGCGGGGGCTGAACCTGCTGGGGCAGGCGTGTGCACCACCGAAACTAGGCCTTGATTTAGCTAAAGCAAGATTTTCAAGAATCAAATTGTCAAACCTCTTCTTGCGAAAACTTTTCGCGATTTCGATGAGAAACTCGGATCTTCGCGCCATTTCTGCCATTTTGCACGACGTGGTAGATGATGCTTTGCGGTGGGACGGACGGGTGGGTAGCGAAGAAGCTCGTCTGATCCAGGGGAGCTGCACCTCCAGATATACATGCGATCGAGCGAGGGAACAGCGAGACCTAGAGGGATTTTTAAAGACCAGCGACGAATTGTAGCTATAAAGCATGCTTTGGTACGTTAAATTACTAGTTACAATGTATTTTTCATAGCTTCACTTAATATTTTAGTTATCCAGAATGAGCGATTTTTATAAATCTACTACCTCAAGCGCATGATCGCGTATCGGCAGTATGCGAATCGGAATTTGGATTCGTAGCCGGCTAGCGCTGCGTGTAGATTCACTAGCTGGGTAGATGTAGAATACCAACTCATCATCACGATCGGATTCGCCCTGAAAGTATAATTTAAATGATACTCAAATAAACCCTACCGAGTGTCGATAGATGAAAGGCCAGCCTCTAGCAAAATCGGACCATGTCAAAATGCCCTTCGGCAAGTCCAACCAAGCTGCATCACCGTGTCGAGGCTCTTTGGCGATTTCCATCAATATCACCTAAATTTGGAATTAGTATTGATCAGGAATTGCCACCTCTTTTGCGACCTTCTTCGTCAATGCGCCGGCGTTGATATGGCTTTGATTAAGCGCCGTTGAGCCGCCTATGCTTGAGGTATCGGCATCAGAAGAATCAATATACCTCGAGAAACATAGAGTGATTGGGTGCTGACGAGCCTTTGTAGTTGATCCGGCGTGAGGGCCGCATAGGTGGAGGTGATTCGGAATCTAGAATGACGTACGGTGTTTAAATAAACTCTTATGTTTTTAGAACATTAAAAACTAAAAAAAAAAATAGAAAGAAAGAAAAGAACAGTCATATTTATCACCTATGCTCGTCCCCATTCGGTTGATTGAACGTCCCATTGAGCCCAATCGTAAAAGTAAACGAATCCCGTCTTGTCCACTCGTTTTGGGGGGGTCGATGTTGTGTAGCTGACGAGCCGACGATTTACCTAATTGTTTTTCTAAGCATTTTGCTAGTAATACTTACGTCGTGCTGGGTGAAGCGATGACTCTCGACCCCGCTAACGGTCAATTTGCCGTATCTTGGGGCTTTGTGAACTGCGAAGACAATTTCCGGGGCGGCGGCCTATAAATACTTATTATGAAAGTTGTAGATCATCACATTCGGCAAGTTTGCGCGTAGCAAATCGATGCTGATGACCGCGTTGGTGTCTGGGGCGCATAGCAATCGAGAATTTGCCTCGAGAGCGACGTTGATCTAAAAAAAGCTTTTTTTGAAGCTGTAGATGACCATACCTGACCATCCCATGCCTCTATCGTAAACCATTCCGGACCTAGTTGATGTACACCATCAGAGATCAAAAACGAAAAGCCTCCAGAACCGACGGAGGAATCTAAACCTTTATCAGGTAATTTAGCCAACTTACTAGATCCCCGATAAAACGCGATCGCACTATCGTCAATCTCCTTTTGCGAAAAGTTGTAGATGGCCTTGTCGGGCTCAATTACCTAAGCATTTGTATTAAAGATTTCTTTTAACGTCTACTTACCCTGGCGACATGCCCATTCGACGGCTTGGAGATGAGAAAGAATACTTGGTAGGGCGGGGTGTCGGTGTCCTAATAAAATAGAAGTTGACATTTTTAAATATAGCTTACCTCAGTGCCCAAATGGCTGTTCGTGATCACTGCAAAGTTGGTGCTCATCACCCTCAGCACCTCGTTGCGAAGGATTAGCGGGCCTGTAGGGCTCGATTATGCCAATAAAAAACCCTACTTTGCTTATTTTGCTGGGATATCGTGACCTCTACCGGCTCTGGGTTGGTGCAAGTTTCGCCGCTGATACAGGCCATTACCTAAAAAATTGTGTAAATTCACTAAAATTTAACTAAATTGCTTTCTAGATGTTTTGGAGCTAAATTACATTCAAATAAAGTTAAAAACGCAATCAAAATTAAATTTAATTAGCCGCTTACCTGGAAAACATCCCTGGCCAGGTTGGCGCTCTTATCCGAAACATAGACGATTCTCCGTTCTCGCAGGTCACTGCCGGCAAAACTATCTAAATTGAGAATTTTATTGCTTTGATTAGTTTTGATTATAGGGTCATTATTTTATTGATAGGTCGACCCACCGATCGGCTGAATATTCGCCAACGTCCACCCGTCCTTCACCAGCCAACCAGCCCTGGGCGGGGCGACCACCTTGACGATGTAGTCGCCGCGATCCGAAGATGTGACGCCAATGATATTCGGGGCCAACACCGCGCTACCGCCAGCCACGAGATGTAGGGATGAGGTGTTCATCGCCACCTGAATTTTTTGGATTTGATTTCGGGCTTTTTTTAGCTCAGGAGCAACATTTTCTAATATGAAAGGTGTTTCCAGACTATTTTCACTATTGTTAATAATAACTCCAAAAAAACCTATTTGCCAACGAAAAATGCCAATTTTGCAGCGAAGTTTCAACTTTTCTAAGTTTTCGAAATCGTTTTTCCGCTTAGAATATAGAAAGCTATGCGCAGAAATCTTACCTTATATAATTTTGGTGTGTATCTTTGTGTGTGTGTGTGGATGTCAGTTTCGAGGCCCGATTCGAGGGCCTTCCCGTGTGCAAAACGCCCCAATTCTTCGTCACTCGGGGGAATCGACCTTCCTGTTTCCGATGGCGTTCTCAGAATTACGATAAAATACAAGTTTACAAAGTTAAGGCCGGTTTTATTCATTTTTGGTGGTCATGGAGGGCTAATTTGCATAATGTGAAAAAAATACAAATTTCCTCATTCTTGCCAGTTGCACTCGCGTGTGTGGTCGGTTGGGGGGGGGGGGGTCCGAAGGACCCAAGCTATCGGAAAGTCAATTTCTCATGCAAGGGCCGCATTCCAGCGCCCAAGGCCCGCGAAGCGGGTTTTGGGCGCTGGTTATTAAATTATTCAAGTATTTTCGTGTGTTGTCGTACTTTTAACAAAGTTTCAAAGTCATAAGGTAGCCATAAAAAGTTAAAACAAGGAAAATAATAAAATTTTCATAATACAAAAAATTCGCGCATGCTTTTCTTTTCGCGTTTTTCGATGTAATCGACAAATCACTCACATGATGCTCATAAACATCCACATAGACCGTGTAGGGGCCCTTGGAGGCGTGCGGGCTTTTGATGTTGAGCGTGAAAGAGTCGCGTCCAGGCGATTTGCTAGTGTGCAGATATTGTAGGCGACCACTGTCCACGTCAAACTGGGTGAAGGTGCTCACATAAGAAGCGCCTAGAACTGCATGAAAATATGTTTTTTGCTCACCTCCATCGAGCACCAGATGGCCGGTCAAGGGTTGTCTGGTTACAGAGTAGACGAGTTGCCCGCTTGGGGTTACGGCGTCTCCCTGGAAATTTATTGATTTTGTTTCTTATTATTAGCGCTTTTTAGTGATTG